AAGTTAATTATGCTTTGAGTTTGTCTACTACGCATGACCTCTAAAGCACTTTAGCTTGCTGAAAAGCTTTATCTGTAGAGAGTGTGTCCAATTTCTTCATTTTGAAAAAAGTGAAGATTTCAATAGAAATTTACACTTTTATAAATTAACCTGGTAACACCCCCTTGGCTGTCAGGCAGACAACAATTAATATTACTTCGTGGTTTTTGTTACGCAGCTTAACTCAAGAGGCAGCAATTGCTTAGAGCACCTGCCTTGCAAATACTTCTATTCGAGCTGCATTGGGAAGTCTCTGATTGGACAGTCACAGAAAGTCTGGGTGGTGTTAGAAGAGGAGGGCTTGCAAAAGCTGCAGACTAGAGCAGTCATGTCCAAAGTACGGCCCGCGTTCCAGTTTAATACGGCCCCACAGGTTATTTGGCAAATCCTATCTGTTGTGGCCCCCAGTGAATCCCCGAGCGCTGCTCAGGATCCCTGGATCTTTGAATGACGTGGCCCTGAGCAGTGCGCAGGGATTCACTGGAGGCCAAGATATCGCAAGAACGCAGACTGACGTGCAGTCACTGCTCGTCCTCAGTCTGAGTTCTTGTGATCTCTTGGACATCGATGTCACGGAATTTGGTTCTTTCTCCTTGGAAGCAGAGAATGAAGGGGCAGAGAATGAAGGGGCAGAATAAAAGAGAGAAGGGACAGAATGAAGAGAGACAGAATAAAGAGATGAAATGAAAAGTATGCCACTTGCAATAAATTTTGCATTAAAAAGTTTGAAGAATGTCAGGCAAAATGGTCGGCCCTCACATGTTCAGTTCATCAAATCTGGCCCTCTTTAAAAAACGTTTGACACCCCTGGACTAGAGAATTGCAGGTTTTAACCTTAGGGTTAGTAGTAGGTTACTCCTAACCCTACTCCTAACCCTACTCCTAACCCTACTCCTACCCCTACTCTTTAGCCTACCTCAAACCCTACCCGTTGTACCACTTTTCAGAAGTCCGAAGCACTTCGACAGTTCGGCAATTCGCCACTTCAGAAATTCGTCAATTTGGCACTTCTGAAGCATCCGAATGTCCGAAATTCATCCAAATTTCCATTCGGACTGAACCGAATTGCACATGTCTACAGCGAGGAGGGACCGCTGCACGAGTGGATGGAGACACGGCAGGGGTACCTCCAGGTAAGCGTGGTTCTGACAGAAGTACACAAACTACGTATTATTACCTGTTATTCACTAATTGTTTTCAATAATTTAATATGCACAGAGCAGAGAAACACACAAATCTAAAACAAAAACTGACTTATGTGTCACCTGCATATCTCAGTTTGGACATGGAAGGGTCATTCTTTGGCATAGTAATGAGGCAACCACAACTATACCAGAGTTCCGTGCTTGACATGCAAATAAGCACAGACAGGTATCATGTTTCAGACTTCATACTGCATGTCTTTAGATACCCTTAGCAATGCACACTATTTTAAACACTTTTTTTTTTTAAACCAGTAGTTCGTGACCAGCCAATGAACTGCAATTTCACCAATGTGGGTCTCATCATCGTGACGCCGGTTCTGGTCTGAAAGTTGAAGTTTCTCAGAGAGAATGTTGTGAAGTACCAAAAAGATTGTGGTTTTCGCTATGCATCACCTACATATCTCAAGTTGGACATATTTCTACAATTATTCCAGGGTTCCCACATTGACATAGAAATGAGAACAGACAGGCATCGTGTTTTAAACTTCATACTGCATTTCTGTTAATAGCCTTACCAATGCACCAGAGAATGGGCTTTGATCGAAAAGGATCAGTGATCAGAAACCAACCAATGGACTTCAGTTTGGTGCTTGTGGATCTTATCAGCATGTTACTGGCTCTGGTCTGGAAGTTGACGTCTCTCTGAGACCATACATCTAGGAACTGTTACGGAGCACTGGACAAGAGTAGGGTCTCTCCTTCACCTACCTCAGCATAAACTAGTCAAGACTTACTGAGGCTAAACACAAGGTTTTGTTAGCACAATGCACAGAGTATTCGGAGTGCTCCCACGCACCATAATGTCTGGGCTGCTAAGAGTTCATCTACTGATGTCCTTTCCAGATAACGGGTAATCCAACAACCAAGGTGTCTTTGGACAGCTCTCCCCCGCCAGCTATCTCCAGTCTAATAAGTGTTCTGATTGGAGGATAATTTTCGATTGGCACCCAGGTAAAGATATGACTGGGACAAGGGATATTTTCAATGCTCCTGGCGCAACCAGGGAAGCTAGGTGCCAAAAATCAGAGGCCCCTCACTGAAAACTTTTATTAAGTGGCCGCTCACTTAGCTGGGGTACAGGGGGACTCTGGGAGCTGTGTTATAGTTGGGAAAATACATAAAATGTATATAACACGGGGAAACAAGGATCCCATCACAGGTACCAAAACGTATAAAAAGCAAATGTAAGAAAATACACATTAGATGAGGTTAGTTATTGAGGAAGCTCCATCATTGCAGTAGTCCAAATGCTAAAGCCAAAAGAAAATTTAAAACATGACAAATGTTAAAAACAGAAAGAAAACTAAATTTCTGGGCAACCTAATTATTTATAAAGTAAACACACTCTGGTAATTTATCATGAAATGAAACAATCGGTTTGTGTAAATAGGACATGACAGGTATAACATTTTGAATTGGTAAACAAGGTAGGCTTGAGGGCTACCAGAACATAAAAACACAGAATAGATTAGTTCAGTACAAAATAGGCCACTGCCAAGTTTCCAATTTACACATTTACAATTGAGTAACATATATTTGTATTGAGAAACTCAGTAACAGAAAGGTGGAAACAAAAGCCACCTAAACAGTAGTGATCCCAAGTTAAGCAGATGTATTTTGCATGGTAATTTCTTAGAAGAAGAAGACATGGACAATGAGGCAGTGCAACAATTTTACTAGTCATTGCCACGTTTCAGGGAGGTCAGACCAGCTCCTCTGTAGAGGATGTACCACTGCAGAGCAGATTTGAGAAAAGTTGTCCAGAAATTGAGATAGATGTAGTATGGTAGTTATTGATATAAGAGTAATGTGCTCCTTCCATAGCTCTGATATTCCCAACTCTCTAAACCCAATCCATAATGGAAGGGATTACATCAGATTTCCAATGTGCTCAGCACCTTTGCTGTGTTAAGGAGATGTGGGTACAGTAAACATATATATTTAAAGGGACACTATAGTGACCACAACAACTATAGCTTAATGTAGTTGTTCTGGTGTCTATAGGATAGCCTTGCTGGCTTTTTAATGTAAACATTGCCTTCTCAAAAAAATCTCAAAGAAACAGTTGCAGGATTTCATTCTAACTTTACATTAAAGGACCACTATAGTCATCAAGACCACTTCAGCTCAATGAAGTGACCTGGGTGCCAGGTCCCCCAGGTTTTAACCCTTCAGATGAAAACATAGTTTCAGAGAAACTGCTATGTTTACATTGCAGGGTTAATCCAGCCTCTAGTGGCTGTCTTCCTGAAAATCGCATTCAGAACATCCATAGGAAAGCATTGAGAAATGTTTTCCTGTGGGTGTTTTTAATGTGCGCGGCTCTGGCCGCGCATGCGCATTCAGCTCCACTCGGGAGCTGATGTCGGAGTGGGAGGAGAGGTCACCAGCGCCGGTGATCCCGGCGCTGGATTAAAGTATGTATAGGGTGGGGGGGACCTTAGGGTTATATAGTGTCAGGAAAACAAGTATACTATCTGTATACTCCGATAGTGCACATTTGTGCAAAATGTGTGAAAGGCTTTGGGAAGTTCAGAACATTTGCATTGTATTTAATGCCAGAGTAATTTTTTTTATTTATTTTTTTTTAAATTCGTGTTCCTTGCTGCTTACATGATTATTTACTAAAGTGATAATTTGAGGTTAATTGAAAGTGAATTTCAGATTTATTAGGACACTATGGTCACCAAAACAACTTTAGCTTAATAAAGCTGTTTTTGTGCATAGATCATGCCCCTGCAGTCTCACTGCACAGTTCTCTGCCATTTAGGAGTTAAATCACTTTGTTTATGCAGCTCTAGCCACACCTCCCTGCATGTGACTTGCACAGTCTACCTAAACACTTCCAATAAAGAGTCATCTAATGTTTACAGTCTCTTTTATTGCAAATTCTGTTTAGTTTAGAATTTATTATAGCCTGCTCTGTTAATAGCTTGCAGGAGCCTCATGTGTGTGATCAAAGTTTAATTTACAAAGCAGGAGATAGTTTAAAAAAATAAAAATGATAAGTTACATTTGATTGAAAATGAAACCATGTTTTTCCATGCAGGCTGTGTCAGTCACAGACAGGAGAGGTGTGGCCTGGGTTGCATAAACAGAAACAAAAGTGATTTAACGTCTAAATGGCAGAGAATTCGAGGATTTTACAATTCTCATGACGGAAAGTCATGATTTTATTAAAGACACGGAGGCGGGTATTATGCTGCTCTCTTTCTTTAATACCCTCAGCAGCAAAGAATACATTATTGAAGAAAAATAAACATTTGAACTAAGTATAACATCATAGTGACAATGTCCGCCTAGTAACATGGCCATCCAATCAGTGTCGTCCTTCCCCTATAGTAGGCGGAGCATTGATGACCAATTCCTCTTTCTTTCTTGCGTATCCCGAAGAATAAACTCAAAACTCGGAACAGGAAACCGGATGAACCAACGAGCCATAACAAGGTATGTGACTTCACGAGCTCCTTCAACCCAGTCATGCTAGAAGAGACAAGAAAATATGGTAATGTCTTGGACTGATGGATTTTTTCATATATAGAGGTCCACACATTTGACTAAACAATGGCAATAATTCATAGACGTAGTAAGAGGGACTACTGATCTGAGGACAATCGTGACAATGAGTCTCAAATTAGATAAAGTCCTAATGCCTGTGATGGCCCAATATCACCAAGAGTGAACTTACCATGGAGAGGTCTGTAACTTACCTTGCCCCACATCCAAGCCGTCCAAGGGCGGGTGGGTGGGATAATACTCGCCTCCGTGTCTTTAATAAAATCATGACTTTCCGTCATGATAATTGTAATATCCTCGAATTTTATTAAAGACCCGGAGGCTCCTATTATGCTATTTTAAAGCTGTGAGATCACGGCTTCTGCAAAATGCTGTATTGGTTTGAAATAGAAATTTCGTCCTCCGTGAGATGTCAAAGACTACTCCTTCTGGAGAGAAGGATCGGGCATTGACATCGAGTGCTCTAACGTCTGACACTCTCTTGCAAGAGATTAGGCATAACAGCATAACTAGTTTAGCTGATAGTTGTTTCAACGATAGCGACTCGTTGTCTGGCCACCGTGTCAAGAAATTCAACATTAGGGAGACGTCCCATAGGGAGGAATAGCGAGGTTGGGGCGGCCGTGCAAAGCAAATGCCTCGGAGAAGATGACAGACCATTGGGTGTCGTCCTATCGGGGCCCCATCAATGTCGGTATGGCCTGCCGATATGGCTGAACGGTAGAGGTTTACTGTCCTGTAAGCCTTCCCGTCGTCATAAAGGGATGTTAAGAATTGCAGGACTGGTGCCACAGGAGTTGATAGGGGATCCAAACCCCGTGCCATGCACCAACCATCCCATGTGCGCCAGCAGACTTGTAAGACTGTCTCGTGCCGGGTGCCCATGCGCCCTCGAGAAGTCGGAGAGTCGATTGTGAAACTCCCTCGATCGACCAGGGTCCCCGGAAATCAGCCACGCCATGAGGCGGAGGAGTCCCTGACGGATCATGAGGTGGGGGTTCGCATCGGGGTCTCGTAGTAGAGATTGGGTATCCGGGAGGAGCCGCGGGCGATCTATGGCCATCTCCAGAAGAGGAGGGAACCAGGGCTGTAACGGCCATAAGGGGGTTATTATCACCAAGCAGCCCAATTGGCGCCGTAGGTGGAGAAGACACCGAGGAATGAGGGCGAAAGGAGGGAAAGCATAGTTCCTGGCGGTCGACCAGTCTTGGGAGAAAGCATTCGTAGCCGAAGCCTTGGGATCTGGCCTCCAACTGAAGAAGGTCGGAAGTTGGGTGTTCAAACGAGAGGCAAACAAGTCTATTGCCAGAGGACCCCACAGATCCCAAATGTGCTGGAAGATTTGGGGATCGAGATGCCAATCGCTGGAATCCCGCAGGTGGCGGGAGTACCAATCTGCCGTAGTGTTGGACAATCCCGGTAAGTATTCTGCCCTGACTGCCATGTTGTGTTGCAGACAAAACTGCCAAAAGTCCCTCGCCAAATTCGCTAGGATTTTGGATCTCGTGCCACCGAGGTGGTTGATATAACGGACAGCCGATACGTTGTCCATCTTTAGTAGGATTGAGCATTGGGACAGTGTCGGGGAGAGGCTGCGAATTGCAAATGACCCTGCAAGGAGTTCCAGGCAATTTATATGCAGTGTGGACTCCGCCGCCGACCAGCTTCCGCCTGTGGAAATATCTCCGCAGCGCGCACCCCAACCATAAGAGCTCGCGTCCGACTCTATGACCACATCTGGGGCCGAGCCGAAAATGGCTTTGCCATTCCACGCCTCCATGTGAATGAGCCACCAGCGGAGTTCTTCTTTCGCTTCTGCGTTTAGAGTCAGAGTATCCTCGTATGAGGCGCCGTCTTTCAGGTATGATGCCTGTAGGCGTTGGAGGGCTCTGTAATGATGGGGGCCCGGGAAAATGGCCTGTATGGAGGCTGCTAAGAGCCCGATCACGTGGGCCAGATGTTTGAGAGATATATGTGGACAGGTAAGAACTCGTCTTATCTCTTTTTTGATATTTTTCATTTTGGATGTTGGTAAATACAAGGTTTGCATTACTGAGTCCACCAAGAGACCTAGGAATTCTATTTGTTGAGTGGGGGCTAGGATGGACTTCTCCCAATTTATGGTGAATCCCAAATTCTGCAGCAAGGTTGTGGTCCAACCGAGGTGAATTTGTAGCAGTGCGACTGACTGGGATAGCAGCAGGATGTCGTCTAAATATATGATTAGGCGTATCCCCCGACTGCGTAGGAGAGCAACCACGGGCTTCATTAGCTTGGTGAAACACCAAGGTGCGGAAGACAGACCGAAGGGAAGGCAGCGGAACCGCCATTTCCTTCCTTGCCACGTGAATTGCAGGAAATCCTGGTGCCCCCGTGCAATGGGTACCGTGAGGTACGCGTCTTTTAGATCGAGTTTGACCATCCAGTCGGCTGGTTGGAGCAAATCTCGTAGGCAGTGAATGCCCTCCATCTTGAAGTGATGGTAAGTTACGTAAGTATTTAGGTGTTTGAGATTGATAACTGGGCAGGATCCGCCCCCCTTTTTTGGGACAATAAATAGGTTGCTCACAAAACCCGGGGTATGCATCGGGATTTCTTGAATAGCACCTTTGAGAGCCAAGTCTCGGACCTCCTCGGAGACGAGGGTCGTGTCTAGAGGGGAAAAATCAATCTCCCTGGGTGGGGAGCGCTGGGTGGGAAGGGATATAAAGTCTATTAGGTACCCGTGGACAGCCCTGAGTATCCAGGCATCTGAGGTAATGAGAGCCCAAACGTGGGAAAAATGTGTGAGTCTGCCCCCAATCGCCACATGTGTAGAAAATTGAGAAAGGTAGCTTACCGTAAGGACGTCTTCCGGAAGGAGCGCCTTGTGTACCTCTCGACACCCATGGTCTGCCTCGTTGGGGAAAAAAGGTCGGAGCGGACCTTTGGTCAATAAAGGGGGTTCTCCCCACATAGGAGCCTCGGCTCGGGCGTGAGCCTCTGTAGACTCTGCCGGATAGACGGCCCCTTGCTCTGCCGGCCCCACCAAAAACCTTTGGGTGGAACACCCTTTTTAGATTTGATTGTGCCTTGTCTAAGGCCGTAAATGTTTGTACATAAGATCCCAGATCTTTTACAAAAGATTCTCCAAAAAGGTACCCTTTTGCTAGGGCTCCTGGCTCAGTAATCGCCATATTTACGAGCTTGGGTTCTATTTTAATTAGAATAGCTTTACGACGCTCTGTAGCCAGAGCAGAATTGGCATTGCCTATGAGGAATATCACCCTCTGAATCCAACCTCTAATAGTGAGGCAATCTAAAGCGTCATCTTGTGCCAAGGATTCCTCCACGGTTTCAAATATTTTGGTCGCTGGACCTAAGATATCCAAGACTTTGTCTTGACAATTATAAAGCGAAAAGTCCAGACCTTTTCTAGGTTTCCAACCCGTCTTGCTTAAAAATTGTATGATCTTGGGATCGACTTGGGGTGTCTTACAGACTTCGTCTGGTACGGTGGGGCGTGGGCATTCAGCCCTTAGTTTACTACGTGTTGCCTTGTCCAGAGGCTTACGGACCCGTGAGGCGACATATTGTGCCACATGCTCAGCTGGTGACCATTCTGCAGAGCGGGGGTGACGCAAGTCATCCGGCTCAAACAGTGGTTCGCCCTGCAGGTCAAGGACTGTTCCCTGTTTAATCAATTCTGAGCTTGCGGTAGTCATCTTAGTAGAGGGATTACACACCTCATCCATGTCATATTCCGAATCTAGGTCGGACAAATCGTGAGACTGATCTGAGTCTAGGGCTGGGGCACTCTCCTCATCTGAACTGAGTTCTGACTCAGTGGAATCAGGTTGGGCTTTAGCCCACTTCCAATGCCTAGCCGCTTTTGCCCGGCTAGAGGCTCTTTTGCGCGGTGGGTTAGTATTCGCGCCATCTGTGACAGGTGTTTTACTGTCCATCGTCAATTTGGAGGAGTGCTTGGTTTTTGCCGAGGCTTTGCGGCCGGGGCGTGATGGGTTGGAAATGGATGGTATCTCGACTGGCATAGCGGTCGGAGGGACCATGCGTTGGACCTGCCTTAGTGCCTGGGTAAAAGATTTTGAAATAGATGAAGACATAATGTCCATGGCAGATGCCAGGGCTTTAGAGACAGACTTGGACACAGTAGTATCCATGATAGCCTGAATATCCTCTGATGCTGGGAAATCCAGGTCATCCCCAGAAACTATAGGGGGAACACCCAATGCAGTTTGGGGGTCAGTTGTTGTCCCTGAGGGACCAGGCAAGTCATTAGCAGATTGCATTAGTGTAGTGTAACTGGCAGGAGTTAAACAATGAAATAGTTGTTTTTTGGTTTTTTTTTGCAAGTAATGTAACTGACAGTGCAGGTATTATTTGATTAATTTAATAGTAAGAGTTGTAAGCAGGGTTAAGTAACCCAGCTGAAATAACCAGAATACACTAAGCAGTATAGTTAAACAGCAAAGTCACTTACAGCTAATTATGAAATAATGGAGGGGAGCAGGAGAAAGGTAAACCGTCCGCCACTAATACTGGACACCAACTCCGATCAAGGGACGGAGTGGGCGTTCCAGAGTACAAAGGGCGGGAAAAGGCGGAAGAAAATGGCCGCCGTGTCGGCGGGAACCAAAAAGATGGCCGCCGCGACGAGCGAAACCGAAAGTATAAATGTAATGTTGTCGGCGGTGAAGGTATGTAGTTATACTGCCGCACGGGGAGGGAGAGTTGAAGTGCGGCTGGCTGCGCGGTCAGAATTAGATCCGACCGCGACCCACAGCCGGAGTTTAAAATGGCCGTTGGGGGCGTTCTGACAGGGCGCGCATGCACGGACGGGCCAAATGCCAGCGAAATTAAAGTGACAAAACCTCAGACCGGCCAAGCCCCTGAATATCAGGGCAGTTAGAATAAGGGGTCAAGCCATGAGAGTGTGGGGTATTGAAACAGAAGCAGGTAGTGAAATATGCAACAGGGGTTAAAAGATTATTTAAAGGTACAATGCAGTCAGTACCAGTAAAAGGTACCCATTAATGTAGGTTAATATAAAGAAAACAATTAAATACAATGAAGTACAATTAGCATGTTGAATAGAAGTAACATTAAAGGATCTCACAGTGAGAGAACTGTGAGAGGTGTACTTATCTGAGGGTAGCAGCAAAGAAAGAGGAATTGGTCATCAATGCTCCGCCTACTATAGGGGAAGGACGACACTGATTGGATGGCCATGTTACTAGGCGGACATTGTCACTATGATGTTATACTTAGTTCAAATGTTTATTTTTCTTCAATAATGTATTCTTTGCTGCTGAGGGTATTAAAGAAAGAGAGCAGCATAATAGGAGCCTCCGGGTCTTTAATAAAATTGAGCAGTGAGACTTCAGAGGCATGATCTATACACAAAAACCGCGTCATTAAGCTAAAGTTATTTTGGCAACTATTGTATCCCTTTAACGTAAAAAGAGCAAACGTGGGAAAATTCTCTAATATATCTTGGCTTTCAGTTCAGCTACTCAGGCTTTACATTTAAAATTCGAGTTGCATTCACCTGGAATTC